TTCCCCATAGAGATAGCTTAACACCTCTGTACGTACCTGCATTTGCCTTGTGCCTCTCTCTCTCTGGTGTTCCCACGAGTGTGCCAGTATGTCGCAGGCATTCCACAGACATCCAGCCCTGCCAGCTCACCAGGACCACCTGGAAACCCAGCAGAGCACTGTAATGGACATCCTTCAGCTCAAAGCAGCCAACGACCTGCAATGACAGAGAAAGGAACAGCGAGACTGCGACACAAGTGGACACCTGACACCCAGCCTGAACCACCAGGATCTGACCAGCATCATCCTCTCCTTGGCCCACACCCCCAAGGGCCTCAGACGGGAGGTAAATGAACTGAACCTGCAAGTCACAGAGTTCTACAGGGAACTGACACCTGCTTAACGAGAGAAAGCACAGAATAGATGCAAGGAACCTTACAAAATGGCGCAACAGAAGGAAATCACCAGTCTTCAGGAGGCGCTAACAGCTGCTGGACACCGAGAGCTGACTCAGCAATTCTGCAACATTAAAGAGGAGCTTGACACGGTTCAGGAAGGACTGAAACAGTCCTACAGACTGCACATGGACTCAAGTAAAAGTCACCCAGCTGCACGTCACCTCCCTCACCCCTGTACACAGATACAAATGGGGGGAGCCAAAGCCTTCTGCTTGACACTTCACAAGTCAGTTTCCTGGAAACCTCTGCAGCCGCAGAAGGAAAAGGATCAATTCAGACAAACTCTGAAATGACACATGGAGTGACACTCAAAGACCTCAACCGAATGGCCAGAAATATCCCTGCATTCACACCAGAACTGGCAGGAGACCACGACATCCACGCCTACCTGCGAGACACTGCCTTTTACCTGCAGTCTTGGACCAGTGTGAACCACCAAGATAGCTCCTGTAACCCAGAAGTACGCGGGTCCAGCTGTCCTTGGGTAGCCTCCGTTCGACACCTGTGTGAAGGGTATGTCCAACAGCAGTCCACCACAACATCCTCCTCCACACCCTTCACACAAGTGCTGAATGGAGGCTACACAAGGACATCTGGACACGCCTACTTCTGAGTTACAGGAGCTGCTGACTCTAGCAAAAGAGCTCCTTGAACAAAACTCAACTGAGGAGTACTGGGAAGGACAAACTGCTGACTCCTTGCCTGACGCAACACAGCATCAGACCCCTCCAAGGGAGGAGCATCCCTTAAAACCGGTCTACACCCCAGAAGCAGCCAGACAACGTTGGATTGAGCAACGGGCCCACATGCCCAACAGCGAAAGCTCTACCAACACAACTCAGGCAAGCTCAAGTCGGTGCCGCCACAAGAGCCAAGCGACACCGCAAACATCGGATTTCTAGTGATGTTGAGCAAAGCAGAGGGCTAACAACCACCTGCCGCTCTCCTGCCATCATCACTAGGTCAGTCTGAAATTCTCTGCACACTACAGAATCTCCATAGCAGTTCCCTGCAATCCCTGGAACCACCTGCACTCTCACCAGTGAGAGTCTAACCCGACTGTTCCACATCACGGGTACCACGGATAGCCTACTGGCTAACAACATCGACAAACAACTATCTTACCCAGACCAACTCACTTCAGGATGACAGGTGACACAGCCTCGACACCTGCTGCATAAGCTCGAGGACCCGCACCTTGCTACAGCCTACATCACCACAGCACACCACCTGACAGCATCCACCACGGCACCACAACCACTCCTGGAGGCACCAACAGCCAGAGAGCCACCACTGTCTCCCAGCCGTGAGTGGCAGGTGCGTGTCCGATTGTTCTGCACCTTTTACGTCGCTCGCTGTTGTCTATTGGATGGACAACAACGCTTGAAAGGGGGGAATTATGTAGCATTTGGACCAATCAGACACACCATTTTTCATTAGATTTAACAAATCAATTATTCATTAGATTAACAAATATTCACAGACCCCTCACCCAATAAACATACTGGGTGTCAGGATGTCTTTGAACGACACCAGGCCCCTGGTTATCATGGCAACCAGGACCCCTCAGCCAGATCAGATAGAATTCTCAGACCCAGTGTCTGAACATGGACTGATCGCTGCTGATTCTGAACTTCACAACTCAGAATCCAAAGCGGGCACCAGAAGGCACCCAACATTGCCACAATGCAAAACCCTTGTACAGAAAGCCACTAGCCAGCGGAGGACAGAGCCGTCACCATGGCAAGAGACCCAAGTCCCAGACCAACCACTGGCAGAAACCATGGAAAAGGTTATCCTCATCCTGCAAACACCACGGTATGTCCAACAGCAGTCCACCACAACATCCTCCTCCACACCCTTCACACAGGTGCCGAACGGAGGCCACACAAGGACAGCTGGACACGTCTACTTCTGGGTTACAGGAGCTGCTGACACTTGCAAAAGAGCTCCTTGAACAAAACTCTACTAAGGAGTACTGAGAAGGACAAACTTCTGACTCCTTGCCTGCTGCAACACAGCATCAGGCCCCTCCAAGGGAGGAGCATCCCTTGAAACCGGTCGACACCCCAGAAGCAGCCAGACAACGTTGGATTGAGCAACGGGCCCACATGCCCAACAGCGAAAGCTCTACCAACACAACTCAGGCAAGCTCAAGTCGGTGCCGCCACAAGAGCCAAGCGACACCGCAAACATCAGATTTCTAGTGACGTTTGAGCAAAACAGAGGGCTAACAACCACCTGCTGCTCTCCTGCCATCATCACTAGGTCAGTCTGAAATTCTCTGCACACTACAGAATCTCCATAGCAGTTCCCTGCAATCCCTGGAACCACCTGCACTCTCACCAGTGAGAGTCTAACCCGACTGTTCCACATCACGGGTACCACGGATAGCCTACTGGCTAACAACATCGACAAACAACCATCTTACCCAGACCAACTCACTTCAGGATGACAGGTGACACAACCTTGACACCTGCTGCATAAGCTCGAGGACCCGCACCTTACTACAGCTTAGATCACCACAGTACCCCACTTGACAGCATTCACCACGGCACCACAACCACTCCTGGAGGCACCAACAGCCAGAGAGCCACCACTGTCTCCCAGCCGTGAGTGGCAGGTGCGTGTCTGATTGTTCTGCACCTTTGATTGACGTCGCTCGCTGTTGTCTATTCTACGGACAACAACGCCCGAAAAGGGGGAGTTTGTAGCGTCTGGACCAATCAGACACACCATTTGTCATTTGATTTAACAAATCAATTATTCATTAGATTAACAAATATTCACAGACCCCTCACCCAATAAACATACTGGGTGTCAGGATGTCTTTGAACGACACCAGGCCCCTGGTTATCATGGCAACCAGGACCCCTCAGCCAGATCAGATAAACTTTTACGACCTAAAAGTATGTAGAGAGAATCTTCCTCCTACTCAGTTCTCTCTGAAACAGACACATACTGCTATAGGAAATGAC